GATAACAGACTCTAACAAAAATAATAATAATCATAACTATAGTTAATTTATACTCTCAAAAAATTGAATTGCATTTCATAATATGTGAGAACTACACTTCACTCAATTATGAATGGAAGTGATGGGTCCCTTAACATCAAAGCCTCCCACTTCCATAAATAATTAAAAATAATACAATTTGTTCGCATTCTTTTATTTTTTATAGGATTTAGTAGGGGATTTTTTTTTCTAAATTCTTCTTCTTACTTAAATTTGAGAATTGAAAGTCACAAACTTTTATTAGTTGATATATTCTTTAATGGCATATAATGTGGGCGGTTGGTAGCTTGGTACTACGTCGGTACGTCCTCTTTGGTCCTACTTCCTCTTTAAAGTTCGTTTCTAATTGAACAGCTGTTGGAATCTGGCGTTTCTCTCGATTCTTTCTCAACCGTGAACGGACTACACATAAAAGCTGCGCCTGCTTTCTTTTTCTTTTTCTGGGTATGTGTATAGTCAGTGTAGCTGCCCGTTGAGTCGTGTTTAAATTTGAAAAGAGTATACTTTCCCCATGTAGAAAGAGAAAAGAGCTTATAACGGGTAACTCCTCTTCTCTTGTTAAAGTTGCTTTTGTGCATACGGCTCCGCGGATGTCTTAGACAACAGCTCCGCCCACTTTAACTTTTCCATCTCTTCTGCCTCTTTGCTGCTTTGTGTCCTAAAGTCCTTCAACGGCATCAAGGGCCCTTTCCTCAATCCAACAGTCGTGTTAGGACTTTTCTAAGTTCAAACATATAGCATCAAAGAAATAGTATGCCTCGGCTTAGAGAAAATTTGGGACTGATGTAAGGAAAATGACGGAGTCAGAATTAAACACTTTCCCATGTTGATATGAAAAATTAAAAACCATATAACCTTGTTTGTATAGCTCATTCTATTCAATGGAATCTATGTTTTGCTCTAGGTAATTGTTCAATGTGAGATTATGAGGCCAATGTTGTTTAGCAGGTGTCTAGTATTTAATAATGACAATGCACCTTAAGATTTTTTACAGAGTTTTTTTAACATGTGCCTTTAAGGATATAATTATTGTATGATTTTAATATTAATTAATATTTAAAAATACAAAAATTATTATTAATTTCATCTTTAATATTATACGAATCATTTTAATTGAATAGTTACTTCAATAAAGATTAATTTTTATTTTTTAATATTAATTAATATAAAAAAAATATAATAATTATACCATTAATCTGAATTCTAAGAGATATAACCTTCTTAAGCAACACTTTAAATGGGCAGTGATAAAATAGGAAAGATCTGGAAAAAGGAGACTGGCCATTCTTTATCACATTACCCATCATCAGAACTAATAAAATGGGTAAATAATGGCAGTTCAATTTCTTAAAAGACAATTATACATGCATCCAAACAATCAACACCTATCTTAACACTCAAATCTAAAATGAAAAGGAGTAAATTTGTAATTTTACTGTTCATAAGCATTGGGTGTTGAGATGGGTGTTAATTGTTTGGGTGTATGTATAATTATCCTTTCTTAAATCAAGAACTTTTCTCCTTTTGTGCTTTGTTATTATCCTTCACGAGAACCTTCTTAACTTCAATAAGAATTTCACAGGAGCAGTTGAACAGAATTTTAGACACTGCTGTCTTTTGCATTGTGTCTTTGCTAAGATACTTTGCTATTAGGTAATAGCAGATCAACAATAACTTCACATTTTACTAGAGAAGTTCCTATGTGTACCTTAATATGATTTGTTATTATTTTAAAAAGTGACCAATTACTTAAATAGTTTAGTGGTTATTTCTTTTCATTGAAAGTAAGAGATTTTGAGTTTGAATTGTATGATATGCGGGTAGGATGTAAGATGGAACAAAGGATGAGGGATGATTGTTTTTTATTGTGCAATCAAGATTAAAAAAAAAAAGGTGTAACACTCAGATGAAAGCTGGAATAGCTCAGTTGGTTAGAGCGTGTGGCTGTTAACCACAAGGTCGGAGGTTCAAGCCCTCCTTCTAGCGTTTATATATTTTAACAAAATTTTGTCCCAATTAAGGTTGATTCAAAGTTAAGAGTTATTCAAGCCATCAATTAACGGTGACTT